TAAACGCACACAGTCATATGTGATCACGTCGCTTCTGTCCTGGTCAGACTGATACCAACCCAAAAGTCTGGCATAAACAAATACCATGCTGTGCACAGGTGCAGAGATGTGCACGTACAGATACGCGCTCTCACTTTTTATGCGGCTTAAACACATTTGTTACTTTAACATAATATTCCTTACAATTATTGCAAATGTTTTTGTAATCATTTAAAAAAAATGCAGCAATGGTGGTTAAAAGTCGCAGGTTTGAAAAGCGAAACGAAAAGAACGTTAAATATGACTTTGTCCTAAAAGCACTTGTTTTCCTAAAACTAGTTTTCTGCCTTTTGATAGTTATAATTAGTTTTGAACTGTATGAAAAAAGGGAAATGGATACCTATAAATTTCTTACGAAGATTACGGAAACTGATGATAGTTCACCATTCTCGGTGAATTTTTTTCAATAATTTAGTTCACTCACTGCTTCTTTTATGATGTTATTACGGTGTTACGATGTCTTAAGTTTTTGCGTTGCTGACAATTCTGCAGCATTAATCTGCATTGCACGTTTCACACAAAATATTGGTTTTGTCATCCTTTAATTCACTTCTCGTAATATCTGCTAATTTTGATAATGTTTTGGTTCCTTATAAATTCGCTGTGCGTCATATGCATGATCCGAATACTAAACTTAATAATTTTTTGTTGGAAACTGTTGACTCTGTGATTACTACAGGTAGATTATTTTGTTACTGGCCCACGCTTACTTGGTACGAAACTTGAGTATTCTTTTGGCGCAAGCAGACAAACAGCAATAAAAATCATCAAGGAAATGTAAACAAATTTGCTAAAAAAGGGACAATCTGAATGGCCTTTAGGCCATCTCACCACACTTTTATCGCTAACAGTACACTAATCCAAACGCTTACAGAATGTTATAAATCTCTTTTAGTTATATGCTACCTCACAACAGATACTAGCTAAATTCGTCACCATAACAATTTTTGACTTCGTTCCTAGTTATCATAGTCCTTCATTTACGGGGGCGTAGGACGGTCCCATGTCCTAAGTTCGTTGAGTAATGATTCAAGGTAGGGGTTTCCACCCAGCAGGTCAATTTCTATTCGGCACTCAGCGTCGAGCTTCTCCATACGTGCCACCGTGTAGTCGAAACTGCCGAGGGATCTGTAACACGACAGAAACAAGGAAAATTGCAGTTCTCGAACTACAATATGAGCATGACATAACGCAACCAATATTTAGATCATCTGATGTGAAGCAACAGTTACTTAGCGAACCTCTAATAATATTATAGAAAATTTTTTAACTGAGGGTGCTCTTATGCTCCGTTTCAACTGTATTACCTGCTTAAAATAACGTATTTAGATAAATTATCAAGCATATATTTTAGAAGTAAAAGAGTTAGAAAGATGCTATACTTTAATACACATCTAATGTACCGTTTAGATAAGACATTTTTTACTATAGATATGACACTTCTAATCATTTTTGGAAAACTCTGTATATTTAATTTAATATAATTTACATACGATGTACCATTGACACCAACAACATATACAAAAAAACACTTATTTAACACTTAAATGATATGAGTCTTTATTTACAAAGACATACTCAAGAACAGATACGGCGTATTTCTTCAGGTCGTAATCCTGCGTCCGTTGCCGAAGAACTCCGAGTACTCGCCCGTCATTTGAATCTTTGCGAATAGCGTGAATGATCGGGAATGAAAATTTACCTTCACTCAGATCTTCGCAAAAAGTCTTATTTTTGGCATAGTCCGTATTCTGAAGATTCTCGTAGTCGTCTCGAATTTGAAAGTACAATCCTAACAGACCTAAATAATAAAATTTAGTAAAGAATTAAGCACTTCAGAGTACGAATGCTTAAATATTCGATACGTGGATAGTTTACCTTTAGTATCAAGCATAACTTCTATCGTAATTATTAGGTAAGGCCTTATTTCAGGGTACTGCTAAGGTCTTATCGGGCGGAGATGAAAAACTCAAAAGAAAGTGCGCTTTGTTTTAGGAAAGCATACTTTACGCGTTTCATACAACAGTCATCAACGACAAATTCCTAAATCCACCTATTATCATTAATTGTAACATCTCTGGATATCTCCAGCTACAGAGGAGTTGCAGCGGTTGAAATATTGATGAAAAAGAAAATACTCACCAATTAACTTAGAGTAGTCTTTATTTGCCTTGGTACTGTTGGAAAAAACCTGCATTAATCGTACTGCAAGACCAAACAGGCCTCCAGTTTTCCTCTTTACCATAAGTTCATATTCTTCTTCAGTAGGACACACTAGCGAGTCTCGCCAGAAGATTTCCATACCCTGCCCACGATGCAACTCCAAAAGCTGCTCGGAGAATACCTGTAAGATTGAAAATTACACTTATTTGTTAAATTACTGGCATTCTAGGTGCCAGTACCGTGTCTTTTATATCTAACGTATTTTTTTTTAGGAAGTGTGGCCATACGGCTTTTTACAATATTTTGTTAGATAGTGGGAGATCAGAACCAACTAGGAAAAGCCGCTTATTGAGCACTTTCTGAAGCTGCTAGCATTGCCTTTTTGAAAGCTGACTCTAAATATGTAAGAGGGAAACGCTGTACCTGTTTTCGGCGCAAGAAGGGCACGGAAACCGTTACTTCGAAATGTTCCTACAAGAGCCTTATTGGACACAACTTTAATATATAAAAATTATTTGTAACACAAAAGGAATTGGAATGGGTTGCTGTACCTGACTTCTGTTTGCACAATTGGTTTACACAATAATGTAGAGATATAAAGGAAAGTTTTATCTATTAGCATTTGATTAATCTAAACATATAGATGTGCGTAACAGATTTCGCCGCTCAAGGAATATTTATAAGTAAGACTCCTAGGGTGGTCACTCTAACTAGAACTGCTAACACATTGCTCTTGGAGGATGCACCCCAAACCCATGCGATTATCCTAGATCTTCAGTTATTCAAATAAGAAAACCAGACATATTAAATGAAGGAAAACTATTCGTAACTTTAACTGTACGTCTTAGCGTAGCTCCTACTGGACAGCAAACTAATTGCTAGTGATGCGACAGTTGTTGGTCACAATTACCAAACCATTTTAATGATTTCAATCTGACTCCTAAACCATCCACGATTACCTACGTCTTATTAATAGAATGGCTGAGGCAATTTTGCTCACCCAGGAAACAGCGCTTTCCGGGACAGAGGGAGGCGTTTAGGTTCATAACTGCCAAGCTAGTATGTTTTTGTTAGAATTTGTTCTGGAAGACTTGAATCAAAACGGTTGTAAAAACTAGAAACGTATGTAGACGCAAATAACCGTTATTATTAGGAAGTGGATATTATGAAGAGCTCGTTGTTAGAATATAGTCCCTTACGTTAATTGATGTTTCTGATACTAGTCCACAATACAAACCTCAATGGCGCTAGATCTTCCCAGTTTAAGGCACTTCTCCAAAGCAATAAAGTACACGTAGTTAGCTGTATTTAATGTTGAAGCGAGTCCAAACACACGATGAGCTGATGGCACACCCCTTCGGCGACGGCTATCATCTTCAATGTCATCGACAAGTAGCGACGCATTATGCAGGAGCATCACAATTTCGGCCACCTTCGCGCAAACGTCGGCCTCGACTTCCAGCCATAAATTAAATGCTAGGGTCAGCTTTTTTCGCATATCCTTGCCCGGCACAGATGCGATGTAGTCGTACGCCTGAGCGGGTATCGAGGCAACAGGAAAATGACATGCAATAGAAAATACAAATAATTACTTGGAAAATATATTATCATATATAGAACAAATAAAAAGCAAAAAGTAGACGTTAAACAATATAATATAATTTAACTGCCGACATCACCATTTTACTGCCAGTAAAAGGACCAACGTTACTATAGCAGCTCTTTGCTTCTGAATCAAAAAACCAAAGAAAAAAAGACTGACTATGCGCCTCGTTCTTGTCAGTATCATTCATGTATCGAGGACATCATCACCTCAGAGTACACAATATAAAAGGACATAGGTCAATTAGCCACATTTCTTTTGAAATCTTTCCGTTTCTTTGGAACAAATTTTTTTCCTGTCTGATTGAAATACATACATAATGTATATAGGTATAGAGACACATACTCCTTGACTGTATTGTAAAAACAATTCGTATTGTTACAATAACAAACTAGCTTTTGAACATTGGAGAGAATTCAGCGTAGAGAATATAGAAAATACTATAGGAAAAGCGATGAAGTACAGTACAGTCATTCTGTTTCTTCCTGCTGGTTAAACCTGCCACTGAAAATAGAAAAACGGTTACGACCCACTTTTTGTCGCCCTGATATGCGTATTTAAGTTGAACTACCAACTGAATTTCCCACGCCTATTTACGGTCAGAAAATGATGAGTATTAACAACTTGAACCAGAATTTTTATATAACATGGTATATAAATATATTATAATAAATCAAGTATAAATATTTGAATAAATACACGTTTACAGCTACATAAGCACTGACCGAATGGCTGTGAAGGACTCGTTATCGCTAGTCCGTTTTATTTTGTTAGAAGCGGTGGGGTGGCTAGCGAGAAGGACACGTTGGTGATCCGACCTTTCGAGTGCATGGGTGATTAGATGAATCCCGGCCGAAAGGGTAGGTAGAAATTTTAGAGCCTCGTTGAAAATCGCGACTAGTCGGCCAATTAGATGACACTAAAGGTACTTGTGTGGGACATTTTGTGTGTGCCTCGATTTGCGTGCGTGGATACGATTACGTGAGACGGCTTCTAGGAAGAGCTGCAGGTTAGCGTATCCTTGGTTAACTCTCGCGAATTTCATAACAGCGGCTATGGCCAATTCTCATGTCGAGTTAGTTCAAGTGGTTCGAGACTGCGCCGGAAAAGCACCTGCTGCGGAAAGCGCAACAGACAAGAAGAGAATATTTGTCTCTCTTCCGAGAAAAGGTACGTCAACGCGCTGCCCCCGCAAATTGTGACTGTTTAGACAAGGTGTGTTGGCAATGTGAGGCTCGAAAGCAGTTTAATGAGACTCTTGCCAGCTCATATGCTTACCATTAAAAGTACCATCCTCGGTGTATCAATTAGGACGCATCAAGTAAGCCGTCTTCGGTTAGCGGCACTCATACAGGCCTTGCACGAAAAATGAATGGCGAATAGTTTATGTTCAATCGAGGCACGCGATGTTAGATTACTTCGAGATGAACACAACCAGTCCTATCAAAACTAGTCGGGGCCTTCGTATTCTTAACCTGTCATCGGAACCATGCAGACATAAATAAAACTATCTACTCGGCAAATGATATGATATTTTCCAGTCAGCGAGATATGGACTATAGCACGTAAGTGCGCACGTTGCCGCGATATGTAGCGGCTTGCAAGAGAAGACCACGAAAGTGCATCCCTTACTGCCGCTTTTATCAGGGGTCTGCGAATCCGCTGCTAAAGCAGGGTGAGAATCAAAATAAATAGCTGCAGTCACAAGGAATACTACCACGACAAGAGGGTGCGCTTCGAAAGCATGAGAGGCCTAGTCGTATGGGCCGATTATCTCGGATTTCTGCTGCTGAACGGAAATAGCGTCAGATGTAGAAAGTTGTGTGCAATTCGACCGTCAAGTCCTACTCAACACAGAGAGTCACAAGGAATTCTGAACAGCATAGTATGAAGTTTTATTTACAGAATACCCACTACGAAATAATAACATTCTGCTGAATAACCATAGGCGAGTTATAAAAGATCAAATATGGCAGCATAAATATATGAACCTATATATGTATATGGCTATACGCAGCGCGATCAACTGTGAAGGACTCGTTCAGCCAACGACGAAGCGGAGCCTGTTCGCTTTATTTTATATGGCTAAAGCACGGATTCCTTCGATTTGTTGCCAACGGTCTCAGGCAGAAAGCTTGCTCTAGGGACGATGTAAACAAACTTGGACGCAGTTGCAGAGAGTCAACAGCTATTATCTGATCTCACCAAAACGTTAAAGGTTCTTCTTTACCCCAAATGGGCGGCCCTTGTTATCTCCGGCCTCCATGCGGTTTCCGAAAACTCGTGAATGGGTTCCGTGGGACAAACCAGAAGATCCTAAATAGGGTTTGATTAATGATTGATATTTTTTAAACTTTTGGCTGTTCTCAGCATTCATAATTTTAGGACCTTTAGCCTCCTGTTAGCCTAAGATTCAATCCCGCTGGATTTTTTTATATAGGGCGTATTCAAGCAAGATTTTAACGAATCTGTATTAACTAATATCGGTTGATGCATGACTGTTAAAATCTGTTCGCCGGTTAAAAAAGGAACACTTTGAAAATGACATGTGAGTGGCTTGAATCCTGAATTTACTACGCAATTAAAGTAACGAAATTCAGCTACACTGAATCAGCATGAACTGGACAAGCCTAACCTACCCAAAAAAAATATCATAATGGTTCTTCTACTTTGGAGATACATATATTTAACCATTTTCTGCTAAGGGTTAATGCTACTTACCGGTAAATGTTAATAAGGAACTTTACTATCGGGGGTATCAAATAAAAAAGAGATGTAATAACGAAAAAATGCGAATATTAAGGTCGTTATAGTTTAAATCTGACTGGTCTGTAATTCACTTTTGAGTCTGTTTGCACCGGACGTCTCTGTGTACGTATCTGCGTCAAATATGCGTGTGTGAAAAAAAACAGAGCATCCTTAGGGCAAACGGACGGATAGGTAAACAAACGAAGATACACACATATGAAGATAAAATAGTTTCATAGCTATTAAGAATGTCGACACTATAAAGAAACGTTAAGTGGAAATTTCCCAGAATTAACTACACGCCCACAAGAGGTCAGAAATTATCATGTTTAATTCAGTTATAAATAAGATCTGGCGATCTTAATCCGTGTGAGTGAAAACCTCCCATCATATGATGTCATCCACTAAATAGAAGACAAAATACAACCTGAAATCAAAATACAATATATTTGTCATACACACGCAAATGTCACTCCACCAGCTCGGCAGCTTCGTTGACCTTCCAATGCAAAAAAAAAGAGTTCCTCCAAGAAATAAGCACAACACATGTATTCAGAGAACAATCGAAGAAAAACAAATTAGTATTGTACAGATGATACTCCGCAGAACATAGATAAAAATCACGATCGAATTTTTTTAGGACATAACATTTAAAAGTTCATTATTTTATTTAACTCGTGTAACACAATATACTTCAACTTAATTAGATATACATGCGTAGTTATGATGGAGATGGAACGATAGTTATGCAAAGCTCAAGTGACGTGATTTCTAGCTTCGTCCGCTTGCGAATTGTAAAGTTGTGTGGGCAATCGTTACAGCACAGGAATGGTGTTTATCGCAAGAGAGATAAGTGCTGCGGATCTTACACCCGAAGCAATCGCAAATTTGCCTACGGGTTGGCATAGGTAACACAATAGCAATTGGGAATAGTAAGGTTTACAGCACGGCTTATACGTATATGAAAGCGGACCTAGAATTCGTTAATGCAGTTAAATCTGTCACTACAGCTGTAAAGTGATGAGTCTACAAGTAAAACCTGTGTGAAATGCTTACCTGCAAATTACCCCATTTTTAATTCGATAAAACGGAAGTAAATAATCTTTTTTTAATCCACTAACTAAAATACTGAATTAGTTTTATAGTCCTATAACTGTCAGTGAATCTGAAAATTATATTTTCAGACTGAATACGGCAAAAGCTTGTTTGCACTGAAGGAGTCAATGTGACCAAAGTATCACTTATGTAGGACTTATGTGCCAAGCTTATTGCTTTCACATTAATGAAATCTTCGTTTTATCCTTCTCAACACAATCTCACGTCTGTATTAGCAATGGAATAATCACTTGATTTCATAAACAAATAAAACGATTTTAACATTTTTAATGAAGGACCCATTTCACTAAAACCAGCATAATTTTCATCTATGTTAAATAAGAGATTTTCGGCTTTTAAGTACAAATCATACTCGGCTTTGATGTACAGGTCTATGCTTGCGTTTCGATCGCTCTGAAAACACCGCTGAAAATATAAAATATGTAGTTGTCGAACATTACAATAATACCAAGAACAAAAATATCGGAAATAGTGTTACAAGCTCGTATTTTAATGTAACGAGGATTCTTCTTTTAAAGGCGAACCGTCTATAGGATATCCTCAAATTGTTGCTCACTACATGTGAACTCGACTAGTACTGTTAGATTCAACGGTAACATTGTTACAATACATAGTCGGCCTCGAAGATAGAATCGGTAGAAGCATTACACTGTATCAACGTGCGCATCTGAATCAGCTGCGGGCTCTCCGATTCCGAATCACCTCCATATGGTGACATGTTTACATGGGTTAAGCACGTAGCGTCAGAATGTAGGTTGAGTACTTCGTGCCCAGTAGCGGGTGGAGTATTTAGAACGCCATTATTATGCACGTGGTGACTTTTTCGAATTCGCGCATCAGTAGTAAAATTGGCGTAAGTGTAAAATCCCATTGGGTCAAGCTTATAAGTTCAAATAAATTCAAGATTCGTCGCTTCACGTAGACATTGAATATGTAAACAATAAATAAATGGAACGGACGAGAGAAATTTGATATTAACAAAACGCATTCTCCCAACATTAGATAACCAATGTGTCATATACTGCGTCCATAGGACTAAAATCCCAAAATTAAAAAACTCAGATTCAACCCATATTGAGGGGCCAGGGATCGAAGACAAACTCATGCGACCAAGACAAAGTTGGTTTAACTACGTATTCTACTTCTCCAGCGCCGCCTTTGGACCATTTTTTGTTTATCATTATTAGCGGATTGGTGGCGTCCCATTACTTGCGTGCAAACTCCAGTCTACGCACTAATACAGGACCATATGACAAACAGCTGTAGGCACCTAGATTTGATATCAACAACGGCGTGCGCGTTTATCCGCATAGATACTTGACAATCATACATAATCGCAACAGAATTTCGCTCGTTAAAGAACTAACGGGTTGCTTCTAACGTTATTGAAGCACACGCATTTCACGTACACAGCCAAGGCCGAAATAGGGCATTGCGAACGCATAGTACGCACTCTGCTTTTTCCGTTTAGCTCATTACCAACTCGTACTCCGCTCACTTTTGCCATTCTCCATAAATAAACATAAATATAACCCACCCACCTGCAGTAGGATTTTCTCTTCGTTGATCTGCGATGCCGACAAAGTTGCTGACGGTGACGACAGCTCGGTCATTCTGTCCCTTTTAGATTCTGTTTGCGATCTCTGATGTATGTCGTAGTCGCTCATCTTTCCGCTTTTCTGACTTAGAACCTACTCAAATAGATACGCTAATCACGCAGTAGCCGTTCAACGCAGCAGGCACCGTGGAGCAAACTGGCGGCGAAAATGATGGATACAGGAATCGATATGTCTCTTTCTTTCGGCCAGTGACGCAAATTGACGATGTTTGGCCAGATGACCGAGATCACGCCCATGAAAACACGAATGCATGCAGCGAAAAGTCGTCAAAATAACGACACGACTTGGTTTGTATTTGTAAGAATGACGCGCGATCAGGCTCAGTGCCGGTATCGAACAAAAAATGCTCACAGTGCACCAAAGAGATAAAGATGAACACCGACAATTGCCAGATTGGCGCGCAGAAAAATATAGCGAGATGTATCTATTAATAGGTAATGTTTACTATTCATTTAGCTGCTGCTGGATGACTGTTAAGTGACTAATGTGTTGTATCGGCGGCGCTTGGTCACAGTCCGGGGTAGTCTCCTTAACGAGTAGGGTTCTATGCCAAACGCTTAGTCACTCTGTATCCCACCATTCAGCCATCCATTTCTTCAAACACAGCAGAAGGACCGTGTGGCGCCAAGCTTAATGCGCGGAATGACGATCGTTCGGCAGAACGTTGAACAACGGAATTTGGGCGACTGTGCCGCTTCTATAGCAGAGGAGGAAGACAGACGCTCACACAGGCAGTCAGTCGGACAGACAGACGAAGAGAGGATGCAATGAGAGACTTGGGGTGAGCTTGAAGTGCTGTTGAACGATACGCGGGCAGCAGCTCGCGACGAAGTCACAGATCTTGCTCTCCAGACCGCGGTGCCATCTTTGACCCAAACGGCACTCAATTTTACGAGCAATTGCTTTTACTGTATTGCTTCAACCTAATGTTGAATAAAGTAAATCTATAAGCGATACGGCAGAGGGCCGTGGCACTTCTTACTCACAGGGAGTATGACGTTTGTGGGATGTCAAATACCCAAGCTTTACAAATATTGCTTGACTAAATCGGCATAGACAGCCGCAGCACAAACCACACTCGTTGCTATGAAAAGGTATATATATAAATGTAGTTTACACATTCTTGCGGTTCATTTGAGAGACGCAGAGTAACACCGATGTTGGTATATTCGTAACCTGTATTCGCCCTTCATCGAATTAATACCTGAGAGGCAAATTAAAACAAAGCGACTTCTTGAATTAATCACCCGCTTGTGTAACAGAGAAGATCGGCATTAGTACATAAGCATCCTTTCCCATTATAGCATTTTATGGCGAACTAATTCTGCGGCCAGCTGCTCAAGATCTTAGTTCTATCAAGTGTCTATATGCTAAAAACGTTTTTTTTTTTGTTTAACGAAGTAATGCACTGTCATTATTTTCAGGCCGCTGGCCCGTGAGAAATATTTGCCTCTGTTGCAGTCAACAGGATTTCGGGTCCGAAGTTACCAGGCAAGTTTTAGCTGTAGCATTCAAACGCATCTACATACGTTTGAACGCTGCAATGAACGGTTTTTTAGCCTATATAAATGAGATGCGCTGCACATACGTTATGGTTTTTTCTGAGTTATACTCAAAAGGACGAGATTCCGCAGATTAGTGAATTATAGACCTATATTTTTGTTTGAGGCCTCAGGTGGCCTTCAGATATTACTTTTGGACAGTGTAATGAAACCTTGTATTGAAGTTACGATTAGTAGTTGTACCTACAGATAGGATTCCGTACAGAGTGCTATTTACACGACAAACGCTTTTTTGAATATAATCAAAAAATGACGTTAAATCGTGACTTAATAGCGGAATTTCTAAACCATCTTTTTTTTTTTTTATCATAAACTTACCATAACTACTACTCAACGTATCACGCTTTAGTAAGAAAATGGAGTTTAGACTGATCTAGTTATGAGTTGTCTCTCTAGGTAAACTTTAAGCTGAGACACAATCCAACCATTAGGATGCATACAATCATTAGAAGTGTTTATAACATCGTTTCCCATACCGCCCGTATTTCGTTCGTGTAATCTCTCCTGTAAATATTACTGGTCAATGATAGGAATTGCCATCCCAGCCCTTGTAATTGATTCAAGAGATTTGCACCAGCGAGATAACGTCTTAGTTCTTACTGAGGGGGACAGCTGTGTGTAAGGGTTGCTGTTTTACAGCCAACCAATATCTACAGTAAGGCATTGTCTATTTCGTAGATGTTATTTCTGTAGCAGCGAAAAAGATGCAGTAGTTCCTCGATCGATTACTGGCTGTTACCGATTGCCTCTATGTACGTATACCTCTAGCTACGTCGAGCTATCAATTGAACATTCTAGTTGAGAAGCATTTTTGATCGAGTGGAACTTATTTAATTTGTGTTGACTTTCGCCGTATGTTTTGTGCTTCTCGATGTTCACAGTAGTGCGTTAGAAATACAGGGAGCAAGAAGAAATGATATGTCAAAGAAGCCACTCGCCTTCGGGGCCATGGTGTAAAGCCATTTGCGCTGGCTGGCTGCTAAGGGTAGCACTGACCGGACTCTGCGTGACAAGCGTCAGTGCATGGTAACTAGTTTCCTAGTTGTCTTCATTGCTTTTCGAGCCTTACCGGAACGTGGTGACCAGACTGAACATTAACGAAATCACTTTATTTTAGAAAATACATCAGTTAATTGCTCCGGGAAAAATCAGCAGATCTCTAAAGTCCAAACTTTTTTTCGTTAGGTGTTAAGAATATCTCTGTATGCATTTTGGCTCCGTGACAGCTGAGATCGTAAACGTCATTGTTCTCCTTGTGATGATGATTGCGCAAACGCTTTGGTGTGGTCTTGCCAGAACAAACATACCGAAGAAAGCAACGTGTCTTAGTAGACCAGATTGGAGAGGAATAAAACTCGATGAAAACAATAACCTGATGAAATAATATTGTCGAAGAGGTATTACATGGAAAAAATCTGCACATGGCGAATAATTATTATTCGGCTTTAGCTTACCGTAACTACATATATTACATAAAAACACAGGCGTGTTTCCACCACTTGAAGGGTAAACGATATTCAACCTACATAAGTTACTTAAAAACTGTCGTAGTATGAAATGCTTACAATAACGTGACCAATAGAACCAGATTATCCAAGGCTTGTATAAAATGGGACGCAAAAACTAGAGCATAGTTATAGTTCGAATATCCTCTTAATAAGAATTGTGAGCTAACAGCACTTATCACTGCAAAATTCTTAATTAGAATATCCCACACCAGTGATGCCAACAAAGTATTGCAAGAGCTTACTTAAATCATTTACATCTTATGGACGAGTGATATATATATATATATATATATATATATATATATATGTAACTGACCCAGCATCAAAATAGCTTATACCCGTCATTAACATGGGAGTGTTTTAACAGCAGCAGAGAGAATAAATACATTGCCCTGTTCAGATATTTTGTAGCGAAGAGCCTTCAGATCGATTAACTAAAGTTTATAATGATTCGCTTTACTCTTTATTACATGAATACGATAATACACGAGTTAGACCCAGTAATTCTTTTCAAATATACGAATATACAGCGACACACTTTGCTGCTAGATGACATCTTCAGCATTTTCAAATTTTCAAAATAATGTTGGTAACATACGTTCGCCCTCTGTTTAACCCTATTTAATAACGTTTAGACTAAGTAATTGAATATATGCATATGTAGGACTGTTTCAACAGTCACTTTGGTGCCGTAAATGTTGGGCTATATTTTAAGCATCGTCCATTGAGATAAGCCACTTCTAGCTACTTTATGTAGCAGTCGTGCTGTGCAAATCATGTATACCTTCAGCTGCGAATGAAATAGATCAAAATACTTCGCGGGAGCTCAGGCTACGCCGGAACGAGTTGACTTCAGATGAATATTCATTACTCGAATGCGCGCTTATAACCGGAGTTAGTGTTTTCTACCAAAAAAAAAATGCCATATGTGAGCATTGCGAAATTCAAACACAACACCAGTCAAAACGTATAGGAAAACAGTGTCTCCATTTAAGCTATATATATAAAGTTCTGTCTCAGTCAAGTTTAATTTTGAAAATGCGTCAGTATGCTCCGGAATTGAACCTTAGTTACTCTGCTAGGTGGTATGTAAAGGAGAAGTGAAGCTTTTTCAAATTTTCAAGTTTTCGATTATGTACCCCGGGGACCCACTGAAATTCGGGATGCAATCCCCTAGCCAGTTAAAGAGTTAGACAGCTTCAGCCATATGCGCTGACACTCGTCCGGAACTGAAAATATCCAGCGACTGAAAAATTTGTCTTGTTAGCTACGGTGTTTCCAGAACTATCGGATTAATACCTGGTGTCCAATAACGAGCGTCGAGTTATTTTTACAAGTTACTCTCTCTACATCTTACCCAAGCGATTAGATGTACCATATTGTGCTTAGTAAAGCATGGAGTGGGTCTACATGAAGAATACAGTTAGGCTAATGTAAAGTAAGTTATATTAATGTCTTTCATAAACTTCCAGTCGAAGCAGCTATATTTTAAATGCCACATATCTGGAACTCGCGTCTGATCAGCGATACCTTTAGCTGTCACCATATAGTTCGCGTAGCGATATATCCTATTTCAGAAGCATACGGCTGCCTTTTTGATGTCGGTATTGTTTCGTATTATTTTTGTTTTCATCAGCGCATGTGCTGTTTCAAACATGGCTACGATACGAAGCTGTCCGGCGATTCCGCCCAATCGAACGTTGAGCTCTGCTGGGGGCCTTTGGCTGCCCAATTTGGCCTGCTCAAAAGTGAGGGTATCCTACCTTCCGTTATTGTCGAGTTATCTCATTTAAGGTACCATAATCTATGAGCTAGGTTCAACAAATGCACGTGTTAGATACATTTTTCGACTGCAACCAAAAGCTATGTAGTGATTTCGGCACCCTTCGAAAGGATCCTCTATCACCGACAACAATGGCACATCCCATCCAGTTTGTTCGTTTAAAAGTACGTTAAGTCATGTTCGTACTGCAAGTATTAGAAGACCCGTAACCGAGGCGCTGATATGTGCTACTATGCCGACGTCACGTTTTTCATGACAGCATTATGGAAATATTTTTTGTGAGACTTCCCCTGTCCGCACTATTAACATATACTCATAGAGCGTCCGTTGAATATAATTTATAAGTTAGTACAACACTCTGAAAAAAAATATAAGAAACAAAAGGTATTTATAGATGTGTGATAATAAATATGACAGAGAAAAAAAGACTAAGCTTTTCAAAGCACCTCCGTACGATTGTTATGCTTTATGATACGGTCTTTTTTGTTTTTTCGTTAAGTATGTGATACATAGTTAAAAGATAGTTCCAATATTGGAATGATCAGGAAAGTTCTCTTTTGTCTCGGTTTCCAAACTAGGCCATTTGAAAATGATGGACGTTACCTGCCTGACTGGGGTTCGCTAGACACCCGCCCAACACCAACGTGGTATGACCAAGCAAAGATCGGTATCTTCGTCCACTGGGGCGTTTTCTCCGTTCCGTCGTACGTTTCTGAATGGTTCTGGTGGGATTGGCAGGGCGTACCGGTATGTGGATATCAAGCCATAGAAGCGTTAGCAAATGATGTTGAATGTTTCGTATGCGTCTCCACGTGACACCACTGCATTAAAAATATTAGCGTTCCATCATGCCGTCCCATAAAGTAAAACCCTTTGGCTCTTCTAAGGTCGTGAAGATTTTACAGAGAAAGGAAAATTAAACGTTACATTATCTGCTATATATTATGTAGTTACATAAAGTTTTCTTTTATGTGTAGAACAAGGACATAGTAAACTTCATGGCTAAAAACTATCCGCCTGGATGGACGTATGCCGACTTCGCACGTAGCTTCCGGGCCGAATTTTTCAATGCATCTCAATGGGCTGATTTGTTTCGCCGCGCCGGAGCAAGGTAAATGCGTATTAGGTCGAATATAATTGTATATATATCACTGACATGCACATGAAACTCTATGTAGAACTGAAAACACGTGTAACTATTAAAAATGAGTGCTATTTAAAGGCCTATATTATATATGTACATTTAGAAGCGACTTCGTATAAACGAAATAGTACAATGCACGATTCTGCTACCATGAAAATATTGAGCATTGTTTGTGGCTATTATAAACGCCGAATAGCCTGCTCTCGTTCTACTTAATTTGCTTTTGCATTGGTTGTGAGTTCGTATTTGTAGTGTCATTGCGAACGCATGAGTTTTTCTCTGCTTGATGTTTCGTCTCTACAAGTCAGCCCACGTCTCATTTTTGAACAGCACAGAAAAGGGTCAGGGGTCCCTATTTAAAAAAATTTGCTCTAATTTTTAATAGCCGAATGCCTCGCACATTAATATTGGTGCAGTATCACAAACATTTAGCACGAATTGTCACAGGGAAATAACTGTATCTGTGTAATACTTAAAACTTTTTACATCAGTTTATTTACAGTTATCTATACAATCGGCTTTCGGTTTTTTGAAAACCGTGTGATTTTAACCTAGTATCAAACGTGCTTTTGAACATGATTAAGGTAACTGCTTTGTCAAAAGCGCTGTAACAATGATGACAGTTGTCTCCTTCTCTTAAGATGGTGGACGCTTTTAACGCATTGTAATACGGTATCGTTGCATTTCTTTACCATCCGTGACCGCCGTAACCTCCGTCAAGACCACCCCCGTGTCCGCCTCCCAGACCTCCGCCAATTCCAAAATCGCCGTGGCCATGGTGTGATTTCACATAGACAGGCTCTGGCACGATGACGGGCTTTTTGACGTAAACTTGCTTGTACACAGGCACCTTCACAGGGACCTCAACGGGCTGGGGCACGGGAATCTCTTTGTGGACGGGCAAAGGCACATGAACAGGGACCTTCACAGGCACCGGAACAGGCTTGTGAACTGGAATAGGAATATGCTTATAAACGGGATACGGACTGTCTTTGTAAACGGGCACGGGAACCGGTACAGGCACTGGCTTGGGTACAGGATAAGGTTTAGGTACTGGGTAAGGCTTGGGAACAGGCACGATCTGGGGGATCTTCTTAACTACGGGTACCTTCACTGGAACAGGATATGGCTTAGGCACATGTACAGTGTGAGGTACAGGCACTACCTTATGAACGGGATAAGGTTTTGGTACCGGGACAGGGTACGGCTTGGGTACCGCTTTTGTTATGATCTTGGTAATGTCCTTAACATAGCCATGGCCTTCATGTTCTCCTCCGCCCAGATCCCCTCCTCCGCCAAGCTCTAGGCTATCACCTCCGTATCCTCCGAGGTGACCACCGGCATTAACGACCGCTGCCACGCACAGCGCGCCACTCACAAGCACAAATGTGCGCATGATCTTCAACGGGCGTCTATTATTGGCTGTCTCCGTTTAACGATTTAGAGCGATCTAGATCTACGGCTTGTTTGCGTATATATCACTGTAATGAGTAACTTACAATACTTGAATAGCACAGAGCTTAGCTTTTATATTCTCATTCCTCTCGGCAATATGACTACTACTGTCGTATACGAAAGCTGCCTCGGCGGCTACCACCTGCCCTCACCTACAGGAGCAGTTGCTGATATTTTTGATGCCTTTGCTAAACCAGAATTGTGACTTGGGTTACGAACATGCGCCATGATGCTGCCCTGGCCCTCACGAGTTGCGGGGAAGATGGTTCTCGGGTGGGGGTGTGTTAGCCGTGTCTGCAGCAACATTGGTAAACGGTGCGGTAGTGGGCCGTAACACACAAAAATCAAGCAATACAAACGGAACGATTTGTTCGCCCTTTGTAGTGATATTAGGTGCCTCATATTGTATACAATATATAACGGCCTACGCCATGCGGCTATCGCAACGTAAAACATGCTTATCTCTGGCTGCACGCCACCTACAATAGGAGGGGGCCGTCGGGAAAATACTACCTCCCCCACCCCAGCTTGTTCTTGTTACCGTCGACATTGTTATTATCGTTATCAAAATAACAGCCGCGAATCGTGTAACACAGTCTACAAGCAGTAGCTATCAGTTGTGATATTGGTAGTGTCATAAAACAGCGGAAAAAACTCTGACTACGATGGTTGTTTCGGCAACAGCAACGGTAGCGGCAGTAACGCTGGGTACGCCCATTAACTGATCAGTCAGCTGGACAATCAATCCTGCCTGCGCCCGACTGAATTTGGATTTCTACATTATATCTAGCCTGATAGTTATTTTTCTGCTGTTTAACCAGCAGAACGTACATTTGCGCAGTCAATAGAAAATGCTAAATGACGTTTTTTGAGAAAAATTAGAGACAACAGGAGCGAGAAGGAACTGCTTCTGACAAAGGTTATGGGTTATGCTGTAATGATACAAACTTTCATACTACTACTAGTCTCATTTACTAGACACGGCGCAATGTAACGAAAATCTAATAAAAAATACGACTTATCATCTGGTGAATGGTTACGCTTGATGCCGGTTAATTAGAATTTTCAAAGTAGTTAGTAAAGAACATTACCTTGCGTCTAATTAGACTTACTGCTTTCGGCGACACCGTATTTTTGTTCGTATTCCTGTTATTTAAAAACGTTAGAAATGTATCCAAATTTAGAATAGCACTATCAAATAGGGTCTATTGAATAGAACAGCTTGCAGGTTAACTAATTTTATAACCAGATATGGGCTGAATATAGACTGACGGTACAAGGAACACAGTTATAATCACCGAAGTTGCTGAATCATGTCTTCAATGGGTCGTCAAAATCAGTCTTTATCCGATGTAGTAATCATTGAGGAAGTTGAGAATATCAAAGAGAGCGATTTTTTCTTATTTCTGATAATGCTGTTCCCAGAAAAAAAATGTCATTTTAATTTAAAGTCGTGTATAAACTCCAATTTGGGTTCGTTTAACGATCCTATAAACGGGGCTAAACTTCATCAAATTGCTTGAATACTGTAAATATTCTCACAGCTTCGAATTGTATGAAAAGATAACTTCTATTCCCTTTGGCTTCTTTTGGTTTTGCTTCTGTTTACTATACTCTACATATTATATTATAGATACGTAGTACTGACCTCAAAGCATCATGAAGGTTACACCTTGTGGCCATCGGCCACCTCATTTAACTGGAACTCGCGTGATGTTGGTCCTAATAAAGATCTCGTTGGTGAACTTGCGAAAGCAATACGTGCCTCGGGGGATCTTCGATTCGGACTTTATCATTCACTTTTCGAGTGGTTTAACCCTCTGTATCTGCGAGATAAGGCTAATCTATTCTCCACACAGAACTTTGTGAAGGTACGTTTCATTTATCCGGCTTTAGGTTCTAATAATATGCAGGAAATCTCATTTGTAACTTAGGTAGGCCAAAGTTGCTATTGTCTATTGACAAACCTATTTTGAGTACACGCGTCCCCAGTCAGATTTCTTCTGATCAATTTTGGCTAATATATGTATATGTGTGTTATTATTAAAGAAACAAGTCTTCAGGCCATTCGTATATGACAGCACTAAATCTCTTGGAATATTGTTTGCCACGACTTTTCAAAAGTTTGGTGTTATTCATTGCACTAACTGGTCAATCTACTTGTCTTGAAGAAAAATTATTTGTTTAGTTGTTCGTTCTCATTCGACGACTCAACACACTAACTTCTATTTCATTATCAATAGTGTCCACATCGTAGCTAGAATAAATTAAATAAAGGCTGAAAAACAAACTTTACAAAAAAATTTATCAGAATGGAAAATTTAGGTAAGGAAACCCGACTAGTTTATTCCAGTGAACCCTGTACGACACAACTGACACATGGGCAACGGAAATGAAGGTACATAATAGCTTTTAGATAAGAAAAACAAAAGACCATTTTATTGAAAATTCATGAAAAACTTTTTTAATGATATGCATCTCAAAATTCGTTACTAAAACGCTATAAAAGTTAAAAAAAATAAGAAACTTTATCACTTTATTGTGACAATAAACAATCCATAAAAAATCGAATTGAGATTAATTAATAAGGCTAGTTAATATTTTTATCAGAATCTTTCTTTAGCAACGTTTTCTTTAGCAACAGTTGTTTGTATTTTGTAGAAGAAACACCAATATAATTTTGTTGTAATTTCAACCCTCCTAACAAAAAATATTACCTTCTACATCGGAAACGCTTCTACATCTCTTTTCCTTAGGCCATAGATGAAGCTGGCATGACTCTTCCGCATAGTGACCAATGGGTTTCTTATTTAGGTAATTTTTTAAATGAACTATGCCCAGTTACTAAGTATCCAGTGTAACAACCATTCTATCTTATATGACGTTTACTTGACTTATCTACATGGTAAAATACCACGAAAAACCTTAAAACAACACCGTTTGTTACAAAACACTTCTGCCAATAATAAATTCTATTAGACCATAGCATGAATCAACGTCGTAGATGCGAGTTCAAGGGACTTTTTTGTCAGCCCTGGCTGATCAAATAGGTTATTGATATTAATAAATGGACAGCAATTCGAAAAGGTATTGTGTCGACGGCTCCGCATGGCCAACATTTCTTATCTCACGGTTTTTACTATGGTGAAAAAACACGATTTTTTAGTCTTCGCTCTGTCATCATATGGTCAACCATGTGACGGTGATGACGATATAAGAGATTTGATATAATTCGCAATTATAAAACATTTATCTCTTTGGTTACTATTTGCACCCCATATTCGTTTCCAAGTGTTCTGCCAGTTTTAATTGAAATTTCTGTTCTAAGGAGAAATGTGTAGTTGTCATATTGAGATTTTTAATTAAATTCAAGGAACCAAATCCATTCAGTAAAGTCTGATGTTCGTTTAACACTGCCTTGATTCATCGGTTTGCAGCCAAATGTGCGAGTATTAATTGTATTACTGAAAATAATCAAGGCAGAAGTCGTTAGATGGCTCATTTAAAGCAAGGCATTGTAAATCTATCTGACGCAAGTAATATTTCTTACATCTAACGCTTTAAGATCATGCGTAAGTTATATTTAGCATTTAACTTTATTTGAATGTGCCCGTTATTTATTATATACCCTTTGAAATGTTCCTCAGACATGCATTATTTTGCCCCACATATATTTTTTTTATATTGATCGTTGAAGAACGATTTTGCCAAACATTAATCTTTGTTGAGGGAAAATTTAAATGACTGAACTATTTTAGGCTAAAGTTGGTCCGGAACTGATCGATATTGTTAATACGTACAAGCCAGACGTTATATGGTCCGATGGAGACTGGGAAGCTACACCTGAGTACTGGAACTCCACGCACTTCCTTGCATGGCTCTACAATGATAGGTAAGGTAAGCGTGCAGCAGCATTAGCCTCCGAGACGTATCAAACAACCGAGTTAATTCTGAGGCGGGTCGTCTTAGCAGCTCTTTTATACATATAGTAGTCTAATTGGTCCGGTATTAATTTGTATAAATAGGTGGGGCATATCCTATCGCTATCAGGCTTTTCCTACGGCTTGCCTATATAGGTGATAAGTTGGAAAAAACACTGGAAAATGCAATGAATATTCTATATATTCACTAGTCACTTCGAATCTTGTTTGTAGCAGGTCAAGTGCATATGTATTATTTTAGAAAAATAAATTTGTCGTGAGTATGCGCAGTCCATAAAAGAAAAATTTAGCAACAGGTGATTGCTGGCGATAATCCAACATAAGGGTCTTTCATTGATTTTTGGCTAACTAGTGCCCTCTTTTTGCTCGTATAGCCCTGTGAAGCATACGGTATTGGTGAATGACCGTTGGGGCATTGGAACCGGGGGTAAACATGGAGATTTCTATAATTACGCTGACCGTTACAATCCAGGTGAACTGAAGTATCACAAATGGGAAAATGCCATGACTTTAGACAAGAGTTCTTGGGGATACCGAAGAAATATGAGTTCTGATGACGTTTATTCGCTTCACGAGCTTCTTATCGTGATGGCCGAGACTATTAGGTGAGTAGGTGTGCTCTTGAGTTGATAAACTGTGTGAAGCTGTAATAAAATAAAATTTTATTTAGAAATTTCTAGAAAACGGCTCTAGAAAAGGCAACCGGGCTGGAATCGAGGACTTTTCGGTTGGAGTCATTAAGTTAAAGCCGAACCGTAGGCAGTTCGTAGTGCTGCAAAATGCATGTATTAGTAGTCGGTAAAACTTCTTTTAGTTCATTAGGTTTATCTATAATGCAGAGGATACCCTCACTGGTGTCTATAAATGTGCACAACCCATCTTACTTGTTCTCTGAATTTATAAAAAAGAGATAACTGAAAAACAATGTAAAGTTTGACAAAACGTACCAATGAAACAAACGCACGAAATATGCAGAATACTTCTTTGGCTAATTCCTGCTTTTTCTTACTCGACACTGTTTATAGTTGCAATGGAAATTTGCTAATCAACGTGGGTCCTCGTGCAGATGGCATCATAGATCCCATCTTCGAGGAGCGTCTTTTACAACTTGGCCAATGGTTGCACAGCAACGGAGAAGCAATCTACGAGAGTAGGCCGTGGACTGTACAACATGACCGGCTAAATGCAAATGTTTGGTAAGCGCCATTCCGTATCTCAGAATATTACCTAATATTGCTTTTGTCGTGATGTAACACAGTCTTAGCGTCTTCAAGGAGTACCTAATTAATTTTTGACCAAATCTGCCTTCATAACAATAATAATCTTCATAGTTTGTCGAGAACTGCATACTAGTTAGTAATATATTTATGATTATGAGTCGATGCGCTCAGTAGACTAAGGCCTCAATGTCTGATAGAGATGATGTTTATACTATTGATAGTAATATGCAATGACTTGTATAATTTATACAGATGCCAATTATACAGCCACAAATATCGCGTCGTATCTTAAGATATCAAACTAATGTTTTGACGCATTTACGCATTATAGCACCGAATAGCAGTAAAGCTCAATGCGATAACGGTAGCGAGACCTCGAAATTTAACACATCCAAGGCGAGCTTTATTATTAAATCGAAAACCTGCACTTTCATGCGGGGTTTGTAAACTTTTACTATCGAGTCACAGTAAGTCGAGGGCCGATAGTAACATGGGCTCCTCAATATTCTACCGTTCTTGCCCAGAAAACGGATGGGAACTTTGCTTGCTTTTTAGCACTTTTTATGAAGTCGGCACTTAAAGACACGAATGCATTGGGTAAGCGGTAAAGAAATAGACTCGCATTTGCAGTCATATTAGTATGAAGAATTTTATTGTTCATATGAAACAGGACTAAGATTTTGAATAACTTGATGTTACAGGTACACAAGCAAATACCCCATGACAGTGTACGCCATTGTGTTAGCTCTTCCTACAAACGATGAAGTTCAGCTTGGAGCTCTTACCTCACTTAGCTTGGGTACAAACTCTGTCATGACTCGTCTTGGCGATAAGCAGGTTCTCGAATACACTGCCAATGCCCAAGGGGTTATAATTAAGGTAACCTGAAGAAGTCCTTGTGACTAACCTTGCACTCTAACATATAATTATCACCTGAACATGTACAAACTACGGTTACGATTACAATAGGGGTAAACTATGACTTCTTAAATGTTTGTCAGAATACTCTTTGCTTACAAGGGATGCGCCGCAAGAACAATTTTGACATATCGCGGGTATTATTGGCATGGGAGTGTTGATAGCAAATACGTCGATAGTAATCATATTATTGCTGACCGGCTTTACACATCGTGAACAATGGCTAAATTCGGCTAAGAACTTGGGTGTGATTTAATTTGGAGGTTAAAAATTAGCTGGCTTAAATGGTTCTCAATATACGAATACAAACGCAATTTTATATCACAAGAATTTGAATTTCACTGTAGGAAAAGCATCTAAGTCATTTTTGATGCTGCGCTAATTGAGTCCTTATGTACAACCTGTTACAACACATGATTTTCCAATAATCAGTGGAACTGTTTTCGTAAACGGAGTATCAAGTGCAGCAAGGAAGCATGTGATATTTCGTAGGACAACTTAAATTGCGTTTTAAGAGCAATTATTAACAACTATTTTATCAATAAATCTGTCCCATATGTCAAAACCTTTTCTATATGTCAAAACTGTATTAAATATACTGCACATAATGGTTCAATGTATTAACGTGTTTGATGGCCTTGAACCTTTACATTAGCAGTTAGCGTCTGATTACAGAATTGTGGAAGATAATTTCCACATATTTAAGTGTAATTTAATAGATTTAGTCTTAGCAGGAATGCTTAATTGGGACTGTTCATTATTGTGATGCCGATGAGTAGGCGTGGTACCTTAGTAGCTAAAGTGGTTGCCTGCTAATATTCGACAGCACGTGGTGGTCTAGGATCGAATCCAGGCATAGATTCGTTTCGTGGTAGGAGCTAGCCGTCTGATAGAACGCCTAACGGTGATGCCAATATACCATGAACTGGTTTAACAATGAGTTGAGTTGAGTTTACTTGTAAACATTTGAGAAGTTATAGAAAAAGCGGACCGTTGTCGATGCACAGGGCCATGAATTTAGTGATTGTAGTGTATATTGTTTTATAATGGGATACAGACGTAATGGCATAGTACTGGACATCAATTCGGACAAGTGGAGTTTTGAAGAACTATTTACGTGAGAATCTCTGAAACGTTTGTTATATCATTTTTTTTTTGTAATGGGCTTATTTTATAATACATTTATTCAGTATCAAAGCGGCATTTAACGTAACTCATTTAGTTGAAACTAAACTTTACTGATCGCATTGACAATGATATAATATACTTGAGGGTTTCGAAAAGTACCCTTTCATGCTTTTTCATGATTGAATATTGAACATTTTCTGCCTTCAGGTGCCTCCTCCATTGCTTCGAAGCCTGTTGCCCACATCGGCGTTTGTTATTAAGATTGAACTGAGGCTTTAGTGCCTAAATACTGTTGGCCAAAGTTTGTCGTTTATCATATCCACGAATACCTACTTTTTGTAATTTGAAAATGTTAAAAATTCTACACCTATGAAATAAAAATATATTTGCAATCTTTATGTGCGTTTCGTAGATCCAGCTACTTTGATTTAGAATATTCTGATGGCTGCTGCAATAGGTTAATAATCGTGCCCAGTCGTTACTACTGAGAAATTGAATTCAGTCGCATAGTGTAAACTAGCTACTGTGCCGCGCTGCGGGCAAAGAGCCGCTCGTTTGTAAAAAAAAGCCATTAATCGAAAACATACAGATTCAACTTCTTCACCGGACCGTTTATGCTTAAGGGACAGAACTTTCGAACTTCCTATTGAATCTATTGTTTTGGCACATTGTAATAGCTATTTCACTGACCAATTCAATTAGCTAGAATATAATTCGGACCAATCATATTATCAACCATTAGAATGAAAGCTCAACGAAATGTAGTCTCGAAGCTAAACTGTCGTTGCAGTATCGGGTAATTGCAACGAATACGTTCCACACGTTCTCTTCAACACCTAAACTATTGATTGACCAATCGCCATCAACGGAACCGCAACTATAATCGTCATAACCTGTTTATTGTAGGGCTCGCCTTGCTATCAGGCCGTTTAATGATCTAACAATAATTCGAAAATACGTCGTCCTTTCGCAGTATAAATATACACAAAAAAAGCAGTTACCTGCCATCATTACTGCCTGATTACTTTCAGTTGATTAACAATTATTTTTTCATTTTAGCCAAAACAAACAGTGATAGAAGACTAAATACACGGGTATTAAGTGAAGAGCCTAAAGCATTATGGAATTAGAGCTGGTAACACAAAAAGGCTTCGACTAAACTAATTGACAGTACTTAAGATAAATATTGTGCTATATACATTATGGGCAAGTGGAAAGTTTAATAAGTACTTGCATTCTAACTTAGGGAGAAAATCTTGCCGCCAATATTTGTTTAAGGTCTTTATTACATGTATATTAACCTTCCGTAAACCCTAATTTTCTCACATAAACGGGCTACAGGCATCTTTTAACGAGAAACATTACTAATATCAATGAATGAAACAAAGCCTGACAGATTTATCTTTATTTTTGAACAAAATTTCTTAAGAGCGTGTTTAAGGGTCTATTTGGGTTCATAATACGCTATAATTTTGCACTAACGCATAAAAAATACAGCAAAAAAGGATTTGTCCCATAAACCATGCAGGTAATCTAATAATTTTAAACAAACAAATTCTCAAATCGAAATAAGTATATCTTCTAACAGATCGCCTTCTGAGAATGTACACTATTATTTATGAAATATTGAACCTTTACCGCAGTACGTGTAATGAAAACACTGTTCTGTTGTAATACCTAATGTCGTGCCACGACTCCTATTTACAAAATAACACATAAAGATACGTATGCGTTTAAGACGCTACATCAGATACAACTCTCTAAAGGAATCTGTTTCGAGACCTTCCGTCGTTTAACGGATTGCGGAAATCCGTTGACATTTTAGAAAGGTCAGCGCACTTCCAGCGCATCGCCCACTATCCCCTAATGGACCTCTTTTAGATCACCACCTTCATTTCTGCATTCTCCTGCTGCTGCTGCACAAGCGAAAAATCATCGTCTGCTCAATCTGTCTGCCTTTCTGCAGTATTGACCGCGTGGCTTCGGTCGCCGTTGTGTTTTGGCCGTTGCCGTTCTTCGAGATGGCTGGTCGCCTAGCTGTCTTGCCATGCTAACTTTTTGCTCGGTATATACCCGCCATATAACTCCCGCTGGAGGCTCGCGTTTGAGTGGGAGAGGGTAAGGGAGCACGGCTAGCTCTGGACGGCTGTGTGCGTTTTTGTGGGACTCTGTGTGCCCATCTGGGTGTGTTTCCGCGTCCATCCGACCGCCCGCCTGCCTGTCTTAGCATAGCTTGCTGTGTGTGTGCATGTGTGTAAAGGTCTCTGGTGTTGTCGCTGCTCTATTGATGAGTGAAAACCGTTGCGCCAGCGGCAGGCAGTATTGATGTTGGTGGAGCTAACTTGTGTCCATGGGTGCCCATGCGCCAGCCATCGTAGTCGCAGGGTGGTGGTGGTGTGTGATATTAGTGCAGTGAATATTCGCGTGAAACGTGCACACGTTGCACCCGAACTGTACGTCGCACGTGGTTGAAGCAAGGAGGCGCCGCTGGCGGGGCGACCTCGTCAAGAGCTTTGGTCATTTCAGGTGTGGATAAAATTGCGCGCACTTTGTAGGCTAACTACCGATGACACCTAGTCGGTTAGCCAGTGGCTAAAGACACAATGTATACCTAGTGCCAAAGATGCTGATATCAGTTGAGCCTCCTGCTGTTGCTATTTCGCTGTTACGAGTACACACTCTATATAGATATATATAAACATGTATGGGAGAGAGTGTGAGGGGTTCGATTAGCTCCTTCTTCATTCTGTTTCCTCGGTATGGTTCCACGAGATGGCTAGAGTTTAGCCGAGTGGATCTAACGCACTGCGTCTGATGTCCTGGTGTGTGTGTGTGTGTGTGTACTAGAATTCGTTGTTTGTTCAAACGTGCACGTAGGCTGGTTTCGTGTCGGGATTGAAATCCCAAGTGCATTCAAATTTGTCATATGGATGATGCACGATCTGTGTTAGATGACCTGGAGGCTCCTTTGCTAGAACAAAATAATGATAATGGCGACAGCGAAGAAGTGTCTTTGTCCGTCGATTTGACGTTTAAGCTTTAATTAATTAATCGTTACGATTCGGTGCCATTGGCAAACTGGTTGGTAACTTATCGCTGGACTAGATGTTGGATGTATGTTAAGAAAAATTATCCCTAAACGCGAATTAGTAGAATTGTGGTTATCAAAAATGCCGCAGATAACGATAGATAGTACATAAATCTGCAAAACGGCGGTAGCGATTCCGATAAACTATAGATAGGGAACGGCTAAAGGGAAGGAGTGGGCTAGGCTAAATGAGATACAAACGTTACTACGTAGTGAATGCTGCTGGGTTGTTCGTTTGATGGCTAGTGCATGTAACGCTATTTTTGTTTTTACTCAATGCTTGTATTGGAGTATCTACCACATAGGCAATTTTTATTTATCATCAAAGTACGAATTGTTCAACGCATTGACGGTGGCTCATACGTTGTATAGCAATTCGAATCATTCTCTGTAAATAGTCCTTAAATGGCATTTGACTTAATTTACGGGTAATTATTACAGCATTTATATGAAATAGTGTTTAAACAGAGCAAGCAACTTTTTTTTTTCGAAACATTAACATTTTTCTCAAGAACCCTAACAAAGACGAAGAGCGCTTTCTTGATGAAAGATCTGAAGTATAGGACTATACTCAAATGAAGCAATCATCTCACTCCCTACAGTTCGCGCTGTTTGCATTTTTTTAGAAAAGCTTTTATCAGATACTATAGAACGTGCGTAAGCGTGTGTGGTAATAATAATACAGTCAATGTGGTTATACATGTAGTACATTTATAATCAACAAGAGCAATAATAATATAGGTCAACAGATTTT